GGCCAATAGGCAACCAAGATAGGTGGGTCTAGGAGTCCAGGAGGATTCTGGGAAGGAGAAACACTGGAAGTCAAGATGTAATGCCATGGGGTAGGAAGGCCGGGAAGCTCTTCGGTAAGAGAAATACTTAGATTAGCAATTATGGGATAAATGCTTAAGTCAGAGCTAGCCAGTAAGAAACAAGCAAGGCCAACAGCTTCATAATTAATATAGCCTCCTGTGTTTTTATTTGGGACTTATGCAGCTCTGGAACCAGACTTGCGGGAAGGCTCCCTATACAACACTGAAACTCTTAGAAGAGAAATTGGGAGATACTTTTCAAAGAGTTGGTACAGGAGACAGCTTCCTGAACATAACACCAGTAAAACAGACCTGAAATCGACAATTATCAAATGGGACCTCCTGAAACTAAGAAGCTTCTGTAAGGCAAAGGACACAGTCAACAAGACAAAAAGGCAGCCCACAGAATGGGAAAAGATATTCACTATCCCCACATCTGACAGAGGGCTAATCTCCAAATTTTACAAAGAACTCAAGAAGCAAGTCTCCAAAACACCAAAGGACCCAATTAAAAGGTGGGGTAGAGAATTAAATAGAGGATTCTCAATAGAGGAGACTAAAATGGATGAGAGACACTTAAGAAAGTGCTCAACATCCTTAACCATCATGGATGCAAATCAAAACAACTTTGAGATACCATCTTACTCCTGTCAGAATGATTAAGATAAAAAATATGTGGAAAGAGGGGAACACTCCTCCACTGCTGGTGGGAGTGCTAACTTGTACATTCACTTTGGAAATCAGTATGGAGATTCCTCAGAACAATGGGAATCAATCTACCACAAGACCCAGCAATTCCATTCTTAGGCATATATCCAAAAGATGCAAATTTATAAAACAAGGACATCTGCTCCACTATGTTCATAATAGCATTACTTGTAATAGCCAGAACCTGGAAGCAAACTAGACACCCCTCAACTGAACAGTGGGTAGAGAAAATGTGGTACATTTACCCAATGGAGTAATACTCAGCAGAAAAAAAAATGGAATCTTGAAATTCACAGGTAAATGGATGGCACTAGAAGAAACCATCCTGAGGGAGGTAAACCAGTCCCAAAAAGACAAACATGGTATTTACTCACTCATATATGGATTTTAGGCATGGATTAGGATAGTGCCAGTCTGCACTTCCACTGACAGAGAGTCTGGGAAACAGGAAAGAACCTAAGAGAGATATGCATGGTACTCCAGAGAAGAGGAATGAGGCAAGATCTTCTGAACAGATTGGGAACATGGTAAGGGGTGGGGGGAGTGGGAGCTGGGAAGAAGAGAGGAAGAGAAGAGGAAGAGAGAGTAGGCCATGGGGGAAAAGGAAGGTTGAGTGGGGGGAAGAATAGGGGGAAAGAGGAAATCATAAGTTAGAAGACAGTTCAGGCACCAGTGTGACCTCTAGTGATCTAAAGGGAAGACACCAATTGGCAAGCTAAGCAATAGTGGAGAGACCACCTTGAATGCCCATTCCTGATAATGAACTTGATGTCCATAACCATCATGAAGCCTTCATCCAGTGACTGATGGAAGCAGAGGCAAACACCCACAGTTAAACACTGAACTTAACCCATGAAACCCGGTGACAAATGGAGAGGAGCGATGAGCAAATTGGCAAAGAATGGACTGGCAAAACCAGCAGAGACAGCTGATCTGAACACGGGACAGCTCTTGGACTGATCCAGACCCCCTGAATGTGAGAGTTAGTGAGCAGGCTTGGGCAAACTATGGGGCCTGGCATACAAATGGACTTCGTGTGTCCATAGAACAAAGAGGGAATGCTCTCTCAGCCTGGACTCTTAGGGGAGTCCCTGAACCCTGCTGTGAGTAAAAGGACAGACTCTAGATATCCCCCTATGTGGAAGGAAGTGGTGATAGGATGGGAGGCTGGGGAGGCAATAGTTGGGGTGGCAGGAAGAGGGAAGGGTAAGGGTAATGGGATTGACATGTGATTCAAGTTATTTAAAATTAAAATAATAAAATAGAAATAAAAAAATGAATATGGGGAATGAATGTACCACAAGATCCAGCTATACCACTCTCAGACATATACACAAAGGATGCTCAATCATTCCTCAAGGACACTTTTTCAACTATGTTCACAGCAGCTATATTTGTAATAGCCAGAACCCAGATACAAACTAAGTGTTCGTCAGCCAAGGAATGGATAAAGAAAATGTGCTGTGTTTACACAATGTGGCTATTAATTAGTTAAAAAAAGTGACATCATAGAAATTGAAGGCAAATGGATAGAACCAGAAAAAAGTCATCCTGAATGAGATAACCCAGACTCAGAAAAACAAACATGGTATGTACTCACTCATAAGCGGATATTAGCTGTAAAATAAAGAATCACTATACTACGATCCACAGACCAAGAGAGATTAGGTAACAAGCATGTATCAAGGGGGAATGCTGGATCTCTTTGGGAGGGGAAATGGAAATACTTGGTTAGTGGGTCAGGCATGTAGGGATAAGAACATAGAAGATTAAGTTGGGGATGTGGGAACTGTGATGGAGTATATAGAAAGAGACTACTGGAATAGGGTGCGGAATATTTCAGGGTTGGGTAAAAACATGGGTTGAAAATCTCACCTCTTTTTCAGCATTTGCTCTTACATATACAGCTGTAAAAGCCATTGAATTCTTCCATTTTGATTTGTCATTTTCAGTTTCATGTGTATGACTGAAAAGCCCAAAGAACATTGAATGCATGATTTTTACTTGCTGTCATGCTTCTCCATCATAATGGACTCTAATCCTCTAGAACAATAATTCCAAATACATTCTTCCATAAGTTTCCTGGGCCATGGTGTTTTAGCACAGCAATAGAAAAGTAATGGATACAGCAGGCTTTCTCTACTCTGACAAACTTTTCTTAGAATACTTATAAACTTTCAAAGTTTGTATCCTAGGTAATTAAAAAACCATTTAATGTTGACAATGAAGAATCACCAAAATAGAGTTGGGTAAATAGTCCATCAGGTAATGTACTTACGGCTCAAGCTGGAGGCCCTGAGTTTGGATCTCAAAAACCCACATATATGTGAAAGGTATTATAGCCTGTCCATTATTCATCACAGTCCTGTCATGAATTTTCCTTGTTTAAGATTATTTTATCTCACCCTTGGGAAAACAATATTCTTTATATTTAACATGATATTGAAAGTGATATTTATTTACTAAGTAGCCTTCAGGAACTTTGTGTTGTGAAGGAATTAATCTCTATTGACTTTTGTTTGTCTGTCATATATGTGTGTATTTATGACATATATATGATCATTTCTGCCATAAACACTTTTAGATTATTTAACTCCTCTATTATAGTACATTTTTTACAGTTATTACATTTATTTTATGTAATATGTATTTTTTGGTCAGTAGAGAACAGCTCCTTGGGCAGTAACAAATAATCCTCCAGTTTCTATGTTATAAAATCTGTAGGTTTCACCTTTCATGAGGCATCCAATCTTCCGTCAGATAGGACTCCGGTGTCCTCCAGTCTACACCCCAGGCTGAAGCAGCATTCATAGATTTGAATAAAATTGCTGTCCAATATTCTTCGAGGAAATGAAGATGGTCCTTCGCAATCCAAATCCAAAGCAATTGGGATACCAAAATTGGAGAGGAGGTTTCTACACACTCATTTAGCAAGACACTGTCATGCATAAAATTATTCTAGTTAAATGTATGAGTTACAATAACATCAGGATTAACTTTTTTATAGAGACAGACTCAATAGAGCTATAAATATTACATTTCTTCATGCCTCCTTCACATGATGGACAGGTAGTGAAATTGTTTTGTTTGTAATGCCTCCCCAAGCTCTTTTAACTTGTCACAATGTACAAAGCTTGGCTACACCAAATGCATCAACTTATTTTTATTACTTCAGTGGAACAAAAGATGTCAGAAAGACACATTAATTTTATTCATATTCAACGCTGACATTGATGAGACATTACAATTTGAGCAGTTGTTTGTGCTTCTTATTCTTGTTTTTTCACGGCACACAAACTGTGTATTTGACATTCTCACTGACTTTTATTAAATTATCTCAAAATTAATGAATCAGTGATATTTAAATGACTGAAAATACCAATTATTGTAGAACTCAATTGATTAAACATTTTTTCTGTTTTTTGTTTTAAGATATGCAATTGTGCATTTAATAGTGAAAATCAGAGTCATGAATTAGCTCTACATTGTAATTTAGATGATTTCAAAGGTCTTAGGCTTATATTCAACATTAGCTTTTCTAGTTACACCTTGTTATTAAGATGTACTATGTATTTTCAGCATAACATAAATTTTATTAGAAAAAATAATGCAAATTTCAAACACAAGAACAATTAAGGAACACATAATGCAATTGGAACAGTTTCTACTTCCTCATACTATATGGGTAGTGGTAAAGCAGTATAGAAACAGGTGTCTGGATGGTAAGAAATTCCCTAACTACTAAGGATTAACAGCAATTGCCTGATGGTCGTTTAACGTGTAAGGAATGAGACAACTCCGGAGTGTATGGAGTTTTTTGTTTGTTCCTCAAAATAGAGTCAAACTCCCTGGGAGAGTGAGGACAGGAGCATAAACATTTCGTCTCTGATCTGCCACAAAAGGAAACCTTTTCAAAGCTCAGTGACAAGTCTAAGCCAGGTGCTTATCCACTTTGTTTTCGGCTAACTGTCCCACTCTGCCCAGCTCCTTGGGAGGGAGGTTCAGCCGCCTTTCACTTATTGCAAGGATTCTACAATGAAAGCTAGTGGGAAAAGAACAAACAAGATGCATTTCAAATGTAGGATTCAATTACTTTTCACAACTCAGAAATGTACACGCTGGGCTTTGTTTTGAGGGCGGGGAAATGACAGGGAAGGAATTCTGAGCCCCCATTGGCTTGTGGCTAGCCACTGCAGCTGAGTCTCCTCACCACCACCCCCCCAGACCGGCGAGCATTATTGATCTGAAGGGTAAATGTGGAGGGAGCCACAGAGAGGGTCCAAGTGTTTCTGAGAAGAGAAGCTGCCTCTTCCAGGAACAAAGTGGTGTCTGCTGGCTGCCTGGCCTGGGAACCTTCTGCGAATTAAAGGGGACAAAATGCGCGTTCGTGGCTTGCTACAGTGATTTACAAAAGGGAAGAGAGATAGAGGCAGAGGGAGAAGTCGCACCTTGGAGCAAGGCTGCGTTGTTGCATCCCGCTGCTGCCCTTCCAGTGGCTGTTCCTGCAGCTGCATCTGCTCTCAGCCATCAGGTAAGGCTCCTTTTCTAACTGAGATTGGATTTCCTGTGCGTGATCGCTTCAGGGAACACACACAGAGACGCGTGCATGATTAATAAAGTGATGCTGGGCTAGTCGAAGCTAGAAACTGCTATTCACCAACCTGGCATCCGAATCAGAAGCTTGAGAGTGGTTTTGCTTTATGAAACTTCTGCAAGTTCTAAACAAGTCTGTAGTCTTCAGCACAGCCAGAAGCTGTGTTAGAGAGGGAAGGGAGAGAGGGACGCGTTCACCACCGCTGCATCTCAGCTTGGCTTAATTTTCAAATGAAAGTAAGTGGGTAAGCTATGGGTGTTCAACTGGTTATTTTGTAAATGCTCTGAGTATGGCTTTAAGCAAAAATATTGCTTTCATTTATAAACTCCAATTCCCTTCACTGTTTCATTGACAGGAATTTGGAAACATTGTCATTTAAATTACATGAGTGAAACGATTTAATATTTCTGAGTGGATCTCTCAGTGTATAGGCACCTGATTTTCCAAACATAAAACTCACTTGGGGCAATTACTACAACAGCTAAGGGTTCTATGTTATGATCTGGAAAATTTTTTTCAAAGGCATTATTTGATATTACTAAAACGTCACAAGATGTATATGAGTTAGAGAGCATAGAAGCGAACGAGTCTTTCAAGGCTATCGTTGGCATTTTTATAAATATTATTTTAGCACCATCGGTTCATTTCCTCTTCTTATATTGAGATCATGGTGACTTCAGAACCTCGGTACTTGGGGTTTTAAGATACCTCTTAACAGATACATTTCTTTGTACTCTCTGGCAGTGAGGCAACTGACATACTTTTGGAAGATTCTGTAACCATTCCATGATTTCCTGTTTCTGATCAAGTATTTTGAAGCTCATTCACGAACATCTCAGCTGGAAAAATCACTTTACATACTTTGGGAGATTTAAATGAAGTATATTCAGAATACGTGTGCACAGTTTAAATTACTCTAGAGATGACATAACGGTGGAAAATCTAAAGAAGTATGTGTTCATTGATCTTTACAACATAGTTGATCTGATGTGAAATTTATAAAGTATTATTTAGACACAAGCCATCCATGAGCACTGAACCTCATTACATGACAGTAGCACGATTTATTGCTACATTAGGCTATGCAATTTAAAATATTTTAACTTTCTGATAGTGTTGTTGGGGGAAAGGAATGGTTAAATGCTTAAATATCTCCTTTCATTCTCACATAACATGCCTCCAGAATTGGAAGCATTCTCTCCTAGCCTTAGGCAATTGATTGACACATTGTTTTGGAGGGCTCCAGTGCAGACCCATACTTAAAGTCGAAGCTTCCATTTAACTAACTGGCACAAGCTGCTTACTCAGCAACAAGACAAGGGTTTTCTCCACCTGCTGAGGAAACACTGGGAGTAAAAAGATTCATAATTAACTTGAATTCCCATTAAAGAATATATTTTTATTTATTAACAAGACTTCCTTCAAAATCAACTTCAACCATGAACCTGCAACTGAACTTCTTACTAAGAGAAAAGGGAGCAATTTTACTGTCTCTGCTGTGGTTCTCTAACCCTGGTTGCTGTATCCTTAACTTCTACTGCAGTGTGCTCTTTCCACACAGTCAGAGGAGTGTTAAGTCAAGTGTTTCCTTCCACTGATCTGTTTAGTGATGTGATCATTTCAGACAACATCCACACAACTGAAGAGCTCAGTTAGAAGGGATGATTGCCATTTGTTACACGTGTGTTAAGTTCTTATTGTACCAAAAATGGTACTTAGCTTATCGGAAAGCAAAAAAAAAAAATTCAGACTAATGCTTCATTTGACAGACTTACTTCTGAATTCTAGGACACTATGCTTATCTACTTATATTGAGATTTTTGATATTTGGAATTGTGGCAGGTTGTATTTCTTAGAACAGTTAGTGATATAGGTTGAGAACAATCAACTATGGCTTCAGGTTTGCTAGACTAATAGCTAATGAATTAAATTGGCAGGTATTTTGTTTAACTGCATTTAGGTGTAATTTGAAGTGTCACTTTCTTTCAATATCCGTGCCATATAGATATCAATTTATTAAATCTAAGGATATGTCTGTGAGTTTCAGGGTGATATTTCTTTTTACAAGTGGATCATATTTTCTTGAAAAAAATGCTAGTTCTAAAACCTTGGGTAATATAATGACCTATTATTACTTCTTGATACAAATATCTACATATTTCCAAAGGAAAATGTGACTACATAGGTCTCATGTAAGGTAAGACAGTATGGGGTCTATCTTTGAATAAATCATTGCCTTTAAAATGTGATTGTAGCACATATTATCAGTACAAGATTAATGGACAGCATTTAGTTGATAATATAATACCAGTGATAACCTTTTTATAGTAAAACCTAAGTAGAAATAGTTCATCCATCCTGCTTTAGAATATTGACTTTTCTGAATAAATGCAATTAACATTAAAAAATAAATTATTCCATTATGCAAGGGTAGAAATTTGATCGATTTTACCTGGCACTTTCATTTATTTACTGATAGGTGATAATCAACATTTTATAGGGTGATAACTGTTAAAAACACTTTTGCATTTTGGTGTTCAGTCAAATGCATTTTTCCTAAATTGCTAGGCAGAAGGGCTGATATATCATAAGCACACTGTTCAGGAGAAATGTGTGAGAATATGTGCAATGCAGTTTGTGTTGAGCGTCATAGTGATTCCTCAGGGTTAAAGTAGTACATGATAATAAGGAATAAGATAGTAATATGGAATAAATAAAATTTTATTATACTTAGTGAAAACTGTACTTAATGAAAAATTAAGTAAAAAAATAAGGTGTACTTGATATGATTCTCCTTTTTTTTCTTTTCTTTTTTTTTTTTTTTTTTTGGTTTTACGAGACAGGGTTTCTCTGTATTGTTTTGGAGGCTGTCAGTCCAGCCCAGCCTCGAACTCACAGAGATCTGCCTCCCGAGTGCTGGGATTAAAGGCATGTGCCACCAACGCCCGGCAGGATTCTCTTTTGTCATATCCTTGGAACATGTTCTAAGAACTCGATTATCCATTCATTACATCTTATCATGACATTTAATAATTGCACCCTAACATATCAAAACCAGAGCACGTGCACATTAGGCTACACATTTAGTTTTATCCAGGTTTGTACACAGGACTAACACATAGTGTTTACAATCTGAGGGTTGAATTAAATCGTTATTTTCTATCAATTATTTTCTTTGCTATTGAATTTCATTTGCAACCTTTGTTCTGTAAATATCTGTCTGATTTATAAATGAGTTCTCATTACCTATGATAACAGGATGAATTAATATACACTGCAAAATCATTCTTAAAACATATACTTTTCTTGCACGTATGTGTTCAAGTTGTAATGAGAGGTGAGGCTTAAGGCTGTGCACAGACACTTATTAGGAAAAGAGAGGGCTTACACATCAAGGTATAATGGATGTACTCAAGTGGCTAAAAGATGCATGGTATTTTTTTCATTTCCATCTAAGTAGCCAGTGTTAGAGGAGAGGTTAGTTTTGGTTATGCCTGATAACACCTTCAATGTTTGATATAATTAATGGGTCTATTAGCTCTGTTTTCTTTTTTTTGGAAACATTATAATATACAAAATTGTTTCCTATGCATAGAGATAAAATCCTGACTTATTTACTGACTGATAACATACTGGAGATTGAGCTAAGACTTGAAACAGAATCCAAAGTATTAGTCTCTAGGCATCTGGGAGCAAAATCTTTTTCTTCTTGAGTATGGGTTTCTTGTACTAGTCAACAGGGTGTGTTATTATTCCACTGATAATTCTCATTAATTTGCATGTCCTTTTTTAAAATTCAACTGCAGAAGCCTAGGCTGCAACTAACTATAAGACCCACCACAGTAGATGATAAAATGTGTTTGTCAGGGTTTATTAGTAACTGGATATAGTTATCACAATGGAGATGACACTGCCCTTAGGCTACTTACATATGCCATTGAGATGGGTTGGTGCCTAACGACATCTGCCATTAAATCTAGTGTCCTGAATTCAATCATCAGGGCCAACATCATGGAAGAAAAAAACCAACTCTTGAAAGTGGTTCTCACCTGGGCGGTAGTGGCGCATGCCTTTAATCCCAGCACTTGGGAGGCAGAGGCAGGCGGATCTCTGTGAATTCGAGGCTGGGCTGGACTAACAGCCTCCAAAACAATACAGAAAAACCCTGTCTCGTGAAACCAAAAAAAAAAAAAAAGAGGTTCTCTTATGCACAAAATTCCTATACACACACACACACATATGCACACACACACACAAACGCACACACATACCTTACACACTAAATAAATGCAAAATAATTGAATTCATTTTAGTAAGAACTCAGTTAATACACGCATATGGTCAATGGCATGAAGGAAAAACCAATAATTGTAAAGAAGACTTAGGTTTTAAAAAGGGAAACTACTTATGCTGCTCAGCCTCCATGGGGCTGGGAACTTGGTCTAGCCTCATCTGAATGTACCAGGCTTTGTTGACTTCCCATGGGAGGCCTTAAACTGTCTGAGTCGTGGCTGGGGGTGGGCTTACGGGATGGAAGGAGGAAAGAAAGAAGGGGACAGAAGGGGAGCTGTGTTTGGTATGTAAAATGAATAAAAATATAAAAAAGGGAAACTACTAATACAGAGTCAGACTACTGAGATTGCTAACAATTAACATTGCTTACTGCTCTTGCAGAGGGTTGAAGTTCAGGTCCCTGCATCTACACTGAGAAACTCACAAATCCCTGCCAACACCAGCTCCAGCAGTTCAACGAAACTCTTTTAGCATTTATGGACATTTTACTCAAGCACAAACCTACCTTGACACACTCACACAGACACACACACACAGACTCATATACACACACAATGTGAAAGGAAATAAAATAAATTCTACAAAAAGAATCAGAGAATGTAGATAGAGTCAAAAATGATTGTGATGTTATTTGATTAATGGTT